TGTCGCGACGCTCGAGTATTACTATTCAGCGTTTTTACTATATTTCTAGGTTTCCTATTTCTACGTTTAATCGGCCCATGTCTCAGCCACAATATTTTGAGGCCAATATTATTTAAGAACCCAGTTAAACTTATTTACTAGCCTATTTCAGCATGCTAATTATTAAATTTAGGCGACGCTTGTTGTAGACTGGCATACACGCTACCAACGCTCGTTTTTACTATGTTTCTACGTTGCAATGTTAATCTGTGTATTGTTTTATATTATTCACATCCACAAATTAAATGCCCACCTATATTATTATCATCATTCTCATTATTATTATTGTTATAATTATTTATTTATTACCATTTTTAAAGAGGGTGACCTATACAGTTTCTGCAGGAATTGATCATTAAGTACCCTCGATAAAACATAGACAATATGTGAAATATTAAATATTCAAGACATAAAAGTTAAATTGCATGTTCAAAGTGTAATCCTATTTTTTAAGTCAACAAAAAAATTTGTACTAAAACAGGCAGAATATTTAACTTTTTTATTATTTCATCATCCATGTACCTTTGTTTTTATATTAAATTTGGCATCTATATTACAATCAGAAAACTATAATTGGTACTGTACCATAATTTTATTGTAATAAACACCACAGGACATTTACTGTTCAAAATGTTTTTTATTTGGAGGGGGTAGATTTAAAAAAACAACGTCGCTCCTTGATAGCTAAATTGTCTATTTAACATCACAGCCCCTAGAAAACCCGCCCTTGGAAACTTGCCCCATAAAAAAATGTACACTTCCTAGACCATGCAGTCTTCAAAATAAAAATTGTAACCTTTGGTAATCAACTACATTTTCCACATACATAGAAATTTTTGAAACTTTATTTTAAAAAAACCTAAACCATATTCACCACTATAGACACTTTCTGACAAAAATGAAAAATTACGACTTTGTTACCCAATGAGAAGTGTTCTAATAAGATAATGGGTCGGGTCTCATATTATTTGTTATAATATATTTTTATTATTCATTATTTTCACTTGACTCGGATAAATAATTTTGTTCGAAGAACATTTATATGCAGTTGTACTTTGCAGCACTTCACTTGCAATTTGCAATTTCTAGTTCTAATGTTTTTCTTTGATAGGCTGACCAACCAGAAAAGCCCTTGCTACAAAATGGATTTGTAGAGAACGGTGTCACTGTTGTAAGTCAAGGAGTAAAAGAGTTGACATTTGAGGATGAGGAGGATGAAGCATTCTTTTCCAAGGAGCTGCCAACACATGCATGCTGGTAAGCCAAAATTTGTGCGATTTTGATATAAATTCAGCCAATGAATTTCACGTCAGCAATTGCTGTCCATATTGCCGAGCCAGAATTGCCACAGGACGGCAATTTTTTGCCGACCTAGGCCTAGATTTCTTTGCGTCAAAAACTCCTTGGAAAGTCAAAACTTTCGGCTATAGCAGAAACTAAATTTGACATACAGTACTTCATCAAACCAAGGAAATTGGTTGTTCGTAAAACAGATTTGTTTGTACAATAATTATTTTTAATAGGCATACATATACATATGATGGCAAGGGCTAAAACATCGCCCAATTGAAGCCACGTGGGCTGCATAGATCGTAATGCTTATCTAAATCTATTATTTGTCTTCATTGTGCAGTATTATTATCATATTTAAAATGTTGTTTATTATCTAAAAATAACCAAATTAAACATATTGTAGGCCTAATCCTACCGTTCGTTTAAACACAAGCATGATCTCATTGTGACTTCACTATTGTCAGTGTGGTCACTGTGGTGTACATGTTTGGAAAATCCCAGGTAGATCGTTTTGGGCATGAGCATGGACATGCATGGGCAGTTTTGAAGCAGACAGCCTGTGATGATACAATCATAGGTCTTTTAAGAAAGTGATATTTACCAAGCTAAAGCTAACGCTTAAACAACAATTGCTTTGGCAATTTTCTTATGCAAAACTTGTGTATTATACTACACTATTAAATTAATACAAATATTCTTTCACCAGCAAAATCACGATACTGTAGATGACGATGTAAAGTCGAGTGTTCGAAAAAATCGTAGATTACTACTGTATATAGGTCTTGGTATTAAAAAGTTGCCGAGACTGCCGACCTCGGCGAATTTAAGGTTGGCAAATTTTTGCCGACCTAATTCCAAATTTCGTGGGCTGTAAATTTACACGAGACAACCAGCCAGTGGTCTATATTTTTACACATGGTGTACCAAAATTCAATGATTTTCTTTTTAACTCACCATGGAAACCTTCAAAAAATAGTTAATTGAATGCCACTTACGTCAAAATGATTAACACTATTATTGAGCATGTTCATTCTGATTCCATGCATACTGTACATTAGGCCAAAATGTATTTTAAATTAAATTGGTATTAAATTACAATTAAAACTTAGTACTTGCAGTAGTTCATGTACTGAAGTATGATTTTATTTGTAAAGATCTAACAAAACATATACAGTAGTCTCTGTAATTTGTCTAATTTGTAAATTTAAGATTATTTTAAATTTAAGTACAGGTATTTGTAAATGTATTTTTAATACAATAAAATGATGCATCCCATATCAGCCTACAGTTTAGTTAATTGGGCAGTTGGTATGTTTGATTCAGCTAGTCCTTTGAGCGGAAGAAGTGTCAATAAAATTTGAACACCATCTGGACTATATTAATTTGCTGAACATGACAATTTATTCATTGCTGACAAAAGTTATGATATACAGTAACTATAAAGATCTATTGTATTTCTGAAAATGAATTTTAAAATTTGACAGAATAATCAATTAAACAAATATCAGATCACTACAGCTTTATTTGACAATGTTTATAATGCCACACAAGTAAAAGACAACCTGAATTCTGAATATAATACATACATTACAGCAAACAATCTTTTATTTATTACAATATTCTACAGTTCTCATAGTACGATTTTGCTATATTGCATTGTGTAAAACCTACTGGAAGGAAGAATATGGCCAATGATAAGATATCCACAGTGTCTGATTATTCAATATCAATACTGTACTTTATTGGATTGTAATCTACAGTACTTTTTTTTGTGCTAATCCTTTTTTTTAACAGTTTTTTGTCCTAAGAAATTTATTTATATAAAAAACTCATCATTTTTCTTGTTTTTCGATGTTTGCATAGACCATAGTATTAACTCATTTTATTGCACATGGGTTTTCTTTTTTTAATAGCTATTGTGGCTGCCGCAATGTATTCCTTATTTTTGTTGTTTCCCGATGTTTGTATAGACCATAGTATTAACTCAATTTTTATTGTACTTGGGTTTTCTTTTTTTTTAATAGCTATTGTGGTATACATGACCCTGCTTCTGTGGTTATGTGTAATAAGACCAAGAAGTGGTTCTGTAACGGAAGAGGCAACACATCTGGAAGGTGAGATAATGAACAGTAACAGAATAACCTTACAATATTAAAATTCAAGCTTGTGTGCATACTATAGTCTGATAATATTATAAAACATTGGGACTATTTTTTTTATGTAGTAAATATAATTAAAAAATAGAATTTAAATATTTTTATTTAGCTAACACTTTCCCATTACAATACACAAACATCCCATATGGCAATATGCTAGAATCCAGTAGTGTCAACCTCTTCATAGGATTTTGGCTGTATTTCCTTGCACAATTAAAATTAATTATATAAATTAATAATTTATTAATAAAAACTATTTGTTTGTTTCTATTTACTTTTGTATTTTGTTTCTTGTTTTATTTGTTTATTTTTTCTCTTATGAATTAAATAGACAAATTTGTTAATTTGTAAATATGTAATCATAATTTATTGTTAATCTGGACAACATTCATATATATAGTGGCTGGTCAAATGTCTTTTAAATATATTTTAGTCATATTGTGAACCATCTGGTACGTGCCAAATGTAAGGAAGTGACCCTGCATCGTGACAGTCCTCTGGGGGAGACTGTTCTGGAGTGTTACAACTGTGGCTGCCGCAATGTATTCCTTCTGGGCTTTATACCAGCTAAGGCAGATTCTGTTGTTGTGTTGCTCTGCCGTAATCCATGTGCAACCCAGAGTAATCTAAAGGATATGAACTGGTAAGTTTACACTCGCCTACAGTTCTACAGTTATCACGCTAAAATGTTTTGCTTATTTTATGAAATACTTCATATGAATATTCCAAGTAATGATTTACTAGAGTCAGGGCTCTAAATAGTCAGTGGTCTGAATTGTGGGACTCAACTTTCATAGACTGGGCTAGCTGAAAATATTGGGGGGAAGGGGGTGCTGTACTAGACCGATTCACTACCATAAATCATGGGCTATGCCTAGCAGGGTTCTAGTCATGATGTCAGGGTACCGGTCGGGGACCATGCCTCCACTTTTTCTTGTCTCCATTTCTTCTTGTCTCCATTTCCCTGTGGGGAATCGCTGTAGCGAGATGAACTGTCATTGTCTGGATTTATTTACCAAAACATAGGCCTAGGGGCTTAAAAGTTTAAGCCGAAGAAATCGGCTCAGTTTAGCTACAGTAGGCCCTAGGCCCAAGTAACACAACAGATGGCTAAGTTTATTTTTTGGAAATGTTTTAATCAGTGTTAGTTGCGAGAATGTTCGTTCTGCATCGGCTATATGACAAGGTAATATCTTTTTATACTTTTTAATACTAGGGAAAGCTTTCTTGGCTTGGCACAGGTGATTTACAATTACATAGCTACCGTTGTCTTTGTGCTTTAGAATTGATCCCAGAACATAGTTTCGGAAGTTGGTCCACTCGCTCTGGATGTCGGCTGTACTTCGATCAGTTAAGAAATGTTTAGTTAGTGTTGCTATACAATTATTCCCGAAGGTTTGGTCAGCAGTAGTTCTGAGTGTCAATGTATTTTCCACAGATGTGCTTGTCAAAGTAATTGACATTAGCTGGTTGTACGATGTCAATGTCAGGCAATTTCAAACGATCTAGTATTTTCTGCAGGCAGCTCACATGTAAGAAAATATCGGTCGGAAATGTTGAGTTCAGGACAGGCCAGATCACCCGCTGACCAGTGTGGTGAGAACCCTGGCCTAGAACAATAAGAATCTGTTTTGATTGGAATCTAAAGTGTAGTGTTTTCTATGTAATAGCTGTACGGTTCTTAGTTGAATATCATGTGTAAACTTATTCATGTAGCAGGCCAGCAAAGCGGGTCTAGTAAAAATATAATCTGGACTAGTCATTTCGTAGTCCAAATAGACCTGGGTCTAGCATAAATAGCATTTTTACATCCCTGTAGAATGGATCACTTAGATGAGAAATAGAAATCATGCGGAAAAAATTTCTCCCCAGGGATCCTTCCCAGTGGCAGCCATTGATCCAAGACCGCTGCTTTTTGGCCTGGCTTGTGAAGATCCCATCTGATGATGAGCAGCTACGGGCTAGGCAAGTATCTGCTCAGCAGATCAATCGTCTGGAGGAGCTGTGGAAAGACAGTCCTGAAGCTGTGCTGGAGGACCTGGAGAAGCCTGGTGTAGATGAAGAGCCAGCTGCTGTTATGCTCAGGTAAGCCATGCTGCATATTATTAATTTTTAAATTTAATTATTTATATGTTTACCCCGGTACCTTTAAATATGTTCATTCAATAATTCTCCAGCATATAACAAAATCTATAATAACTATACTTTTATATAATTAATGCTTGCGGTACACCACGTAGATAGTTCTGAAAAGAACCGTTGTTGTTGGTTGAGAATATCTTGACGTTTCGGTTGACATGCTTCAACCGTCTTCAGGAGAATAATATCTGCAGACATCTCAAACAGGGAAATACTTATATGTTTGAGTGATGAGACTTGCTGCTGATTGGTTGAAAACTAAACAAAGGCTGAGCCTACCAGTGAAAAGCTATACAAAAGCTGAAATTCACGGTCTGATTAGAAGGGCGGGGCCTGGCTAGAAAGCCAAGACAGTGGCATTGTTCTATACTTTGTCTACTTCTTGTACTCTCTCCTCTTGAAAATATATGAATTGAATTCTTTTTAGGTACGAAGATGCGTACATGTATCAGAATGTGTTTGGCCCTCTGGTGAAAATGGAAGCAGACTATGACAAGAAGCTGAAAGAAGCCCAAACCCAAGAGAACATTGTGGTTCGTTGGGACATCGGCCTCAACAAGAAACGTCAAGCATACTTCAATTTTAGTAAAATAGAGGGTAATTTCACTTTTGATCATATTGTGGCATGTCAAAACCTTTATTTTTCTATGAAAAATTAAATTAGTTTATCTAATATTGGCAATGCATCTAGAATAATCATGTAATAATAATTAAATCACTTTTATTCATATAAAAAAATATGCTAAAAAATATAAGAATTCTATATGAAATAGAAGGATACAAAAGTAATTCCCTAGGCTACATCTTTAAAATAGTGTGACAATGGAGGGGACAAATAACAATCATAAACAGAACAAACAAAAGCAATAAACGTTTAACAATGTATAGCAATATGAACAATAAACCTATTTTTAATTTAATAAATCTCGGGTCTAGTGAAAACTCATTTCTTTAAAGGAAGGTGAGTTACGCACTGATGCACAATTTTGCTCTGCTCATAAGAAAACATATACAAAATTATATTTTATTTTTTATAAATTGTATTTCTTTTGTTAGATGTGAAGCTGATGCATGGAGATGAACTTAGACTGCGTTATGTTGGAGACAAAAGGGACCAGTGGTCTGGTGTTGGCCATGTCATCTCCATTCCTGATAGTATCCTTTATATTGAGTGTTTTATTTTTTCTAAAATGTGATTAAAGAGCTGAAAACGGAATATGTAAAAGACCATTGCTTGGGGAAGGTAATTGTTTTTTCCAGTGTTCTTTATGTTCTCATCTGAGGTTGTAATAAATTGATTTTTGAAGAAAGCTAAACAGTGGAGAGGTAGTCTAGTTTTTTTTATGCCATCATTTCTTTTATATATTAATGTTACAATATATTGCACCATTCATTTTATTATGATTCCTTATCCGGAACCAGATTTCAATGAGGAAGTTGGGATAGAGTTGAAGAGCAATGCTGGTTCTCCACATGACATCACCAGTCCATATGTGGTTGACTTTGTCTGGAAGTCCACTTCCTTTGACAGGCGAGTCCTTACATTTGTTATACTATTTCTTTCTCCAGAGTGAAGAAAATGCTTCAAAATAAATGGATCACCCTCTAAATGCTAACTCTACTTTATAAATTTTTCTCACAGGATGCAAAATGCCTTGAAGATGTTGGCTATGGACGAGACAGCTGTGTCCAGTTACCTGTATCATCGCTTGCTGGGACATGAGGTCGAGGAGATGACATTCAAAGTGAATCTTCCGAAGAGGTTCTCAGCCCCTGGACTGCCAGAACTTAACCACTCCCAGGTGTATGCAGTAAAGACTGTGCTGGCTAGACCACTTAGTCTTATCCAGGTAACCTTCCTCATCAACTATTAATTAAAAGAGGAAAGATAACTGTACAATGAAAAAGTAGTGGTCTGGTACTGGGTTTAGTAATAATACTTTATTTGTCCCCATTCAAATTAGAAATTGGACTTGGGCAGGGACCCCTGGGGACCCGCAGCAACCACAGTGCAGCACCACTCAACTTTACTGTACAACATATAACGGATACATACAACGTTTTCGATGCGCGTCTTAGTACGCGCCTCTATTCTTTACCACTGATTTGATATTCTTTTCTCGTTTCGTTAGCCATACGAACCGAATTCGGCTTCGGTGTGAATGCAGCTTTACTCTCAATATGAGGGTTTTTTCATTATTAGAATTCAGTGCTGACCGGGATTGAACCGGAGTATGCAGTACAAGAAGCAGGAAAAATACCTTGCGTTCAACCACTCTGCTCTTCCGTACTTAATGAATTACACTCTCGTTTTTCTCCTGGAAATAGGAAATAATTCTCTGATGTATTACTTCTTACAGGGACCGCCTGGAACTGGCAAGACTGTGACTACGGCTACCATAGTCTACCACTTGGCTCGTCAAGCTCAAGGGTAGGAAACATTTTTTATTAATTTGTTGGTTTATTCATATGATCATTTTATTCAATCATTCTGTCAATTATGCATCCATCCATCAGTCCATTTTATTGTCTATACTTTCACCCAAGCATGTATATCGGCATTTCATTCTAACGAAAGGTATAGATTGAGTGACATACATCATCATTATGCAGATCAGGAGTGGGTTCACTGGGACATGTTCCTTATTTTTCCTTATAAACATTGTAAATGAAACATCACTATTAATTTGTCTCCCTTCTCAACATTGCAGTGCTAGAATTATTTTAGAACATTTTTTATTTCAATCATCATTTTTATTCTTACTGATCCGTAGTCAAGTGTTGGTGTGTGCACCAAGTAACATTGCTGTGGACCAACTTACAGAGAAGATTCACAAGACGGGGTTGAAGGTCGTGCGTCTTTGTGCCAAGAGTAGGGAAGCAATTGACTCTCCTGTTGCTTTCCTGGCGTTACATAATCAGGTAAATTCAATTTTTAATGTAAATGAAGTAGAATGTATGGGATGGCAGTTAGGAGGTTAATATGCTTCCAAGTTTCACAATTTGTGGAATTAAATACTCGGCTATGTATAAGAATTGTAGCCAGCATTCCAGTTTGTAGAATGTGTGTGTTTTTATTTAATTGAAATGAACTTAAAATATCAGTTTAGACGTTTAACTTGGAAACTGCAAATTTAGCACGTTCAGTAGTATATTGTTGTATTTAACACATTTTGGCATGTTGTGTTTTTGTAGATTCGCAAAATGGCAGCTATACCAGAACTTGCTAAACTCCAGTTGCTGAAAGATGAGACAGGGGAGCTGTCAAGTCAGGATGAGAAGCGTTATAGGACACTCAAACGCAACTGTGAGAGGGAACTTCTCCAGGTATGTGAAAAAGCAGTTATTGTCTACCATGAAAAATCTACTTTCTTGAATCAACATAGGTTGGCATACCAATCATATTAGATGCATTGGTTCAAGTCGCATCTTCTATGGCTGTGAGACAAACACTGAGAAGGGAACATGATGAACGCCAGCCAAATCTACATTCATATTAGACCATGTTGTTACCAAAAATAGTTGTTATTTAATTGAAAGTGGTCCCTTAATAGAGTGTATGGTCAAATGTAAGAAGATACTGTCAGTAAGTACGTGTCTACAGTGTTGATGTCTTACATATAGGTGGTCTTTTTAATGAGTGTTTAAGCTCCGTCCACACTATCTAATTTTCTTTGACAAAAAACTGTTGTATGCCCATATATAGTCATGCTGTGCCTATATATGGTCAAGGTAATTCAACAGAAGGACGCACATCTCCGCTCTCGAACATAGCGTGTGCGTACAGTCCTTTGATCTTTACTGTGGCATCGACAATCCGATACTAGTTGCGAGTACAGCTGTCAATTATTAGTCTATGCGTGCCATTCGTTTTATGGTGTTAGTTTTTATTTTATTAATTTTGGGTACTTCGCAATGTCTGTTACATCTGATTTTTTTTACCACGAGCTTGTTAAATGCTTCTATAAACTGCAATTTGATTTTTGAAAATTGACCAAGAAAATAAAAATTTATAGCAATTTAAAATTCACGAATTTTATAAAATTTCATGTTCTTATGTAACATTAATCTGTCATTTTGACAATGTTGGCATAAGGTGCCGAAAACGAACATTTGAGTATATACAGAACATTTAATAATTTTTTCTGCGAAGTGAGTCTCATGAACGACAATACACCACAATTTTGGTAAAATTAATGTTGAAATGAAGAATATAATTTCAGTCTAATGTTAGTGCAAAATATCATTAGGCTTTTGTAATCACCGCACGACGCGCGATTATCATGGCAACTAACACGCGCGTGGGTAATTCGTCACGTACTGCGACGGTTTATGGTCTGGTTGCTATGGTTTTTGTGACGTTCAGCGTGTAGGGACGCATGTGCGCCTAGAATGTCGATGCCAGAGTTATAACCTTTGATGTCCCGAGATGTGCGTCCTTCTGTTAAATTGCCTTGATATGGTCATGATGTGCCTATATATGGTCATGATGTGATGTCATCATGACCATATTTAGGCATGTTACATGTTTGTGAAGTAAAATTTGATAATCTGTACAGGGCTTTAGATTGCACTAACATCCCTTATAAATAAACCTGTGTGAATGCAGCTTTAAACATTTAATATACCATGGTTTATGTATATGAATAACAATGTTTTTCCCCCATTTTATTTCATTAGAATGCTGATGTGATCTGCTGTACGGCTGTTGGTGCCGGTGATCCTCGTCTAGGACGGATGCGATTCAGGACTGTGTTGATTGACGAGAGCACCCAGGCTACTGAGCCCGAGTGCATTATTCCAGCTGTTTTAGGCTGTAGACAGGTGAGCCTAGGGCCAAAAAGTCTTTTCCAAGTAAGCTTTCATGACATGTTGATTCAATCCCAGTGAATATCAGTAATGATGATTGAGTCCCAATAGTAATAAATAATTAAATATTGTTTATCAAATATTTAGTAAATCATTAATAATAAAAATAATCATTAGTATATCTGTTTCTCTTCTATTTCTACAGCTTATTCTTGTGGGCGATCACTGCCAGCTTGGCCCAGTCGTGATGTGCAAGAAAGCTTCAAATGCTGGCCTCTCCCAATCTCTCTTTGAACGCCTGGTAGTTTTGGGAATTCGACCAATCAGATTGCAAGTTCAGTACCGTATGCACCCAGAACTCAGCAAGTTCCCTTCCAATATCTTCTATGAGGGTTCTCTGCAGAATGGAGTTACAGCAAGTAGGTATTATATTAACTCAACTTGAATTAACAGGTTGCATAGGCATTTTGCAATGATCCAGAAAATCATGTTGTAAAGTACAAAAAAAACTGATAAAGAGATAAGCTATGATGTTTAGTTTTGACTTTTGTAAACACCTTACATATCTTATTGTAGGTGAGAGAGTGACTAGAGGTATTGAATTCCCATGGCCTCAGCCTGACAAGCCAATGTTTTTTCAAGCCACCACTGGCCAGGAGGAAATTTCCAGCTCTGGAACTTCATACTTGAACAGGTACTTATTTACTGCATACTTGCATACTTTTTGTTTTTATTAATAATAAGAATACCAAATGTCTTAATATTTTAACCATCTTTTTCATAAATTCTATGTTTAGATATATGAATAGTAAATGTGAGTTTAATGAATATTATTTCATAAAACATTCATGAATATATTTATTTCTGAAGGACTGAAGCTTCAAATGTAGAAAAGATCACAACCAGATTCCTCCGTGCTGGTGTAAAGCCAGAGCAGATTGGTATTGTTACACCGTATGAGGGTCAGCGGGCCTACGTCACCACGTTCATGCAATACAGTGGCCCACTGAACAGCAAGCTGTACCAAGAGATTGAGGTGGCAAGCGTGGATGCTTTCCAAGGCCGAGAGAAGGATTTTATCATCCTGTCTTGCGTACGTTCCAACGAACACCAAGGCATCGGGTTCTTGAATGACCCTAGACGTTTGAATGTGGCGTTGACACGTGGAAAGTAAGTGTATGGTCCGTCTATGAGCAGAAATAGAGAGCTTTTGATTTGACACGATTTGACGTAGAACATAATGACATCACTAAAAAGTCATCTACGTATACGAGAATAATGCCAGGCTCTTGTCGCATGGATTTTAGGACGCAATTTGACCAAATCCGTGTTGTGCAGATAACACAGGACACTCACGTTTGAGTGAATCCGTTCTAGTGTTTCGTCATCATAAGTAATCAAAAGCTCCCTAATATAAAGATATGTAATAAACTATTATAAAGCATACATTTTATTTTATTTCATTCCTTTGAATTAATGTATACAGTATATGAAAAATATTTGAAAAAAATTGTCTGGTAGGTATGGAGTGATCATCGTTGGTAACCCTAAGGTGTTGTCTCGTCATCCTCTGTGGAACCATTTGCTGAACCACTACAAGGACCAGAAGGTTCTGGTTGAAGGTCCGCTTAACAACCTTAAGGAGAGCCACATGCAGTTCAGCAAGCCTAGAAAGCTGGTGAATCCTGCCAATCCAGTAAGCTTTGCTCTGTTCTTGTTAATATTAAAGTGAGGAATATGTTGGTAATGGTTTCTGGACCATGGTTGCTGCTGGTGACAGCCCTGTCCAAACTGTCAAATTCTATTTTGACAAAAATCTATTGTATGCCCATATATAGTCATGTTGTGTTTATATATGGTCATTATGTGATTTCATCATGACAATATTTAAGTATCTCACATTTTTTTGTCAAACAAAATCTGATAATCAGGACAGGGCTTTACAGACCATACCATTCCCATTAATTGACATTCAATGTGTTTTTTTTTTTAATACTCATTCTTAGGGTGGCCGATTTATGAGTACAGCCATGTTTGATGCCAGAGAGGCTCTAATCCCTGGCAGTATTTATGATCGTTCTGGAGGGCTAAATGGTAAGTCTAATCAGAGCTTATTAATGTTTCACGTAATTTTTGTTTGCACCTCTATGTTTAAGTAATTACTTTTAAAAAACTGTAATGATTTGATTTGTCAGTTTTCATAATGAAGTAAATTTTGTTTTTTATAGAATGTTCTATATAAGATATATATAGTATATATATATATACAAATAGTATTGTCATATCTTAAAGCCAGTTGATCTCATGAAAACATATAGTATATTATTTAAATCTTATCTAGCTAGAGAATTGATACACTATAAATTGCAACATGGAAACAAATTAGATAAAAATTAAGGAATTGAAAATGCTGTTATTAGGCATGCAGTATGGACTTATTTTCTTTGTTTGGTTTTTTTTAAAATTTGCACTGTATTATTCAATGTAGTTATGGTACACATAAATAAGATAAAAAAAATGCTGCATTTTATTAATTAATTGATAAATTTGATTTGACTCCAGGCCCAAGAATGCATAACAACTTCCATGATCGTATGGGATTTATCGGTACGGAGACCGCCAAGGCTGCTAATATGAATCTACCAATACCAGTTGGGATGTTCATGCACCATCCTCCTGCGCACTATTACAATAATCCTCCCCCTGCTCACGGCCTAACAAGGGGAAAGAATGGGCAACCCCGACGCAAGGCCAGGAACCAGCAGAACCAGGCCAGTCAGGGAAATTCTCAGACAGGGCAGAGTGGGGCTTCGCAGTTCAGCTTTTCTATCCAAAGCCAAGCAAGTCAGGTAAGTTACGAGCTATTACATGTAAAAAATGTTACATGTGCATTTACATTTTAAAATATTATAATAATAGTAATGGTGGTAACAAGTGGGAGTTAAATATGTGAAAATTTCGCCTGCAAACACCATTACTGTATTTCTGAGTCAAGGTTTTTGGGAAATGATTAAGATTATGGTTTTGTATTGGCTATCTGTAAAAACATACTTAATTCACATAGTAGCAATTAATGAATCTGTATTAAATGAAAATTAATGTTTACATGTTATTGATGTTAAGTTTCTATCCCAAACAATAATTTAGAGCAATTATCATTTTTTGATACTTAACTTGCGTATTATCTTACAGGACCACTCTCAGACCTTCTCGCAAGGTCCTCTGACCCAAGGTAATATGTCAATGAGTCAGCCTTTGAGCCAGCCTGGCCTGTCGCAGCCAGGATTCTCGCAACCTGGCCTGTCGCAGCCAGGCCTCTCTCAACCAGAGTTATCTCAGGTAAAGGAAGCTGATTTACAATTTATTATAAAAGTAGTTTTCAATATTCTGTTGCTCTATTGACCATTATCAATATTATGATCGTTATGTCTAAAAGGTGCTCTTGCTGTTAATTTAAGTGATTTAGTGGAGTGGTTGAATGTGGAGAATTTCCTAAACAGGTGGAGGAAGATCACTCTTTCTGAAAATGTTTTTTATACAATTGTGTCTGCTAAATATATTGCTTTTGTTAAACGAGTTGTTAAAATGAGTTTGTGTTTTACGATGTTGTGATTTTTTGTTTGTTCAGGATAGTTATCTGGGAGAGGAGTTCAAGTCCCAGATAGATGCGGCACTCTCTCAGGACTCCACATATCAAGGGGACCGCAATTATGGACCAGGCATCACCAACTATTCACCATTCTAGCGATGCTGGTCTTGCCAGGCAGGCTACTAATGCCCAAATGCCGGCTGAATGACTCAACTAAGGAACCCGAAACACAGACGATGAAGCAGAAGAAGAAGATTGTCAACCAACGATGACATAGATGATGACAACAAAGAGAAGAAGAAGTGTTATGTACTTGCACGTAATTGTGTTGCTTAAAAAAAAGAACAAAGCAAAGCGAGTGCAATGCTTAAGAAAACACTTGGTTATAAGTATAACAGAGTTAAAACCAGATGTCTAAACGAGAGACTACTCTCTGAAGACGGATTAAAAAAAACCTCGAAAAGGGATGTAGCTTTTAATAACATACAGTCTTGAAAGACTCGTATAACTACCATAATTATTAATTATAAAGACATGATGATCCTTAAAAGGGTGAAATAAGAATCGTAGGCTGTTTTGCACCACTACTTGAATCAAGTTGGTTCATAAGAAGTTGACTCTTGTGTCTGTTCTCAATCTTGATGTCATAACCCCTGATGATATAAGAGAGAACTATTTTCTCTGTCCATCTATATCAAGGAAGGATGTACTGAATGTATGTTCATTTTTCTTATGATTCCTTATGGAATCATAACTTAATATCCTTGTTATCCCCAAGTATTCAGAATAAAGATCGAAAGGCAAGAAGCCATATGTAGTAAAATCTGAGATTCGGGATACATTTGTACCAGCTCTCTTTGCACACTTCATTGCCAACTTATGATGTAGCCAGTAGCTGGGCAAATTTATTCCGATGACAACTGAAAAACTCTTTATTGTAACCCTGTTTTATTAGTATCCTCTTATATTACAGTTTTATTGTTAGTTTTGTTCCATATATTGATTGTATTAACAACATTGATTAGGTTTTAAGACCATTATTAGTTTTGCCACAAATTAGATGAAATTTAACTTTCTATTAAAAATCCAGTGACTGATTGGTGGTGCTTTACAATTGTCACAAATGCCAATCCTTACATTTTAAACAAAAATCAGTTTTATTAAACTTTATTTCCAAAGAAGGGGGTAGCTCTTCCATCTTTGTTAATTAGAAATGAATGAAGTATATCACAAATAAGCTTGATGGCTTTAATTTTGCTGTCCAATTAAATGTGTATTGATGGATGTTACATTGCCTGTCATCGATTAGTGCTATTGTTGTACTGCACTATGTATGCTCTGCATTCATGGCTTAAGCAAGATAATAGCGATTGACATTAATGTAGTCTCACAGTAAATTACCACACAGTAACTTGGAACTGTCAGTCATTAATGATACCAATATAATTAATAATTATAACTATTATAATATTAATTACAGTAAATGGTAATACAGTATACATTGTTTCTTCAATTTATAAGTCTTTCAAAGATTCTTAATAATACAACACAATGAAATTAAAAAACACCTATTTATTTTGGTGATATTGTTGACCTATAAATACAGAGAAGAAAGCTTAGTAGGAGCAAACGTCTGGTAAAGTTGATACACTAACGAAGCTAGTACAGCTCTCAAGAATCCTGTATCTTACAAGCACATTGTGGTAAAATCTGAAGTTGTATGCCGTTGTTGTCAGTTGCGTTGTAAAGCAGTTTTTGTTTGAATATTGTGCGATAATCAGTCTTTGCATGTTTGTTTTGTACTCCTGTCACCATCCCAAATTCAGCATCAGTTAAATCAACTCACAGTGTTAGTTCTGATTGGTATGCATGAGTCTGTTGTATGCCCCTTAGATTTGGCTTAAATTAAATGTTACTTTCTTTCAATATATATATATATATTATTCCCATACCAGTACCAGAAAATATAATTACATAATTATACAGCTGTAGATCTGTTATGCAAAACAGATTCAATTGAAAAAAACTTTTGATTACTTAAAAATCCTTATTGAGTATTGCATTTTCAAATATGTATTTCTTATACTGTAAAGTTATCGGCCTAAATGTTTAATGATGTTTAGAGGATGTTTAAGAAGGTTGTTAAAATGTTTGTCTAATGCAATCATTTTATTTTTGATTATATTAAAGTACTGTTGTCTGGTCAATTAATTTGAGATTATTAAAATAAAACAGCTCTTAATTAGCACTATAAAGTTGTTATGAAGTTAAAACCAAACTTTCTCTTAATTGTTAATTTTTATATAATTTTGTGAAGGGCAGAACCAGGAAGGATTAATTTAAGCAGCATTTTAATAATACATCCGAAATGTGTCAGGTTACATTTACTGTCAAATTGACTTATTATTTACTGCCTCAAATTTGCTTTGCTTTGGCAAATAAAGAACATTTTAGCAGGTAGATCATTGTATGCTATTGTATATATTTATTAGTATTCATTCAACAGTAATGTATTTTAAAACATACCCTTTCCAAGCAAGTGGACTTCAAGAACACATCTTCTCTGTTTACAGTTGTGAAATGGAAGCACAAAGGTCAAGTGGGAACTTAAGCTCAATGATTAGTTGAAACTTCATAATTCAAAACAAATTGTTTTGTACAGTATTATAATATTGTACTGTCAAAGAAAGATTCTTTAGAAACCGTTTTTTTTTTTTATACTCAGTCCCAACCTTGGTGCATGCTGAGGTGGGTGTTGAGATTCCTGGTACCCCCCTCCCCCTACGTTTTCACAATTTCGCCAAAAAATTGTATTTACTTAAAATTTAAAAAAAGTAAAAAAAAATGTTTTCAAACAGTGCATATCAGGCCACTATGTAGGCTAATATTTAAGCCAGTTTCGGCATTTACAGCTACTACATCCTATTTTTCGCGCCTGATCCCCTGTCATGGTAGGGCTGAGGTGGGTTTGGGTACTGGCCTCTCACTATTTACACAAAAACTGATTTGATCTACAGTAATTAAAAAATGAACGACATATTCTCAATTTAAAACAATTTAGAATAAAGGATTGTGTGCAGGGAGAGGTATAGTTAGGCCTATATATAATGTATATAGGCCTATATATAACATATATTTATTGTTACAGTTTATTATGATAATTATATTTGTGGATTCAGATGAAATTATTTCAAGAATATAGATAAATACAATAAATGATAGAAACAAATGATAGAAAATTACTCGCGTCGTACTTAACTGTCAATGGCTATACAGAGATCGTGTTCGTCGTACATTGAGGGCGCTGTTTACCTCAATGTGTTTTTTCGTGTCAAAGGTCTCTTTCTATGGTTGCGTTGAAAACCCAAAACAGCGACCATGAAGGTAGGAATATTTCGATATAAAATCACCATCTGGGCTTAAACATGTTAGAAATGATGAAGAAATATGTTCTAATAATAATATTTCTATCTTTTAACACTAGTAATACTTTAAAATGTTTATCGTATCAGTGAGGATGTTACGGATTATACCAACATGTACTGTAGGGCCTGTGTTTTAGAAGTCCTAGGGCTTAATAGTCTGAAGCTGGAGTTTATAGGCCTAGGCTAGGACCTATGCCTCATCATGACATGAGCAACCACTGACCAGTTGGCCTATTAAGTGGGATAATGAATGAAAAACCCGCCTAGGCTAGAGTACCTAGCAAACACATGGAATTTGATTTTTTGAATGACTAATAATAATATATATAGGCCTAGGCCTAAATATATATCCTAATAGTAATATACTGATAATTGTTTATAATATTATTAGTATAGGCTAGCCTAGCCTAGTATAATAATAATAAATATGCGTAATAAAAAAGATACTGGTGGGAAAGGCAAACAACATGTTTTATTATGTCAATTCTCCACCAAGGAAATCCTAGACCAAGCATAACATACTGTATAAGTACTAAGAAACAAGCGTAATTTTAAGTTTGACAAACTTAAATTCTCACTGGTGACTGATCAGTGATATGACCCTATTTATTTGCAAAGTAAGGGTAGTGTAGGCCTTGATTTTAATAAGACAAACAAAACACATAATTTTCTGGATGTAAAGTACATCACCGCCGAACTGGTTCGAGGCATTCCTACTGGTAGACTAGCTTCGGTGTAGAAAATTTCCAGACTGTAGCTGTTATGGAACATCCATATGATAATAATAATACTTGTCTGTATTGTTATTGTAGAGACATAGCATAAGCTTTAGATTCACCGTTAATAGACTAAACTGTTATTTTTAATTTCAGCTGAATATCAGCTACCCAGCCACTGGCTGTCAGAAGCTTATTGAAGTGGATGATATCAACAAATTGAGGCCATTTTTCGACAAGCGTATGGCACATGAAATGTCATGTGAACATCTTGGTGATGAGTGGAAGGTGAGCATCAATCAGTTTTAAAGTTTGTGCTCAACCAGAAATATTAATGTTTTAGTTATCGAAAAAGCAGACGGCCTAGGGTAAATCCTTGGTATTGGACCGTCCCTATAAAACAAAGTAACTTTCAGACTTACTGGACAGTAGCATTACAGGAATATCATTATATAGATGCATATATATATATATATGTAACTCGTACCGTCCAACTACAAATTAATAACATTACATTCTATCCTGCTGCCTGTAATCATCCTTACAGTATTTTTTATACTAGTTTTCTGCACCTTTTCTGAATTTTATAGGGATATGTGGTAAGAATTGGTGGAGGAAATGACAAGCAGGGTTTCCCAATGAAGCAAGGTGTGTTGAGTGCTGGCAGAGTACGTCTTCTGCTCAAGAAAGGCCAGTCCTGCTACCGCCCTCGCAGGAAGGGAGAAAGGAAACGCAAGTCTGTCCGTGGATGCATTGTGGATTCCAACCTTTCTGTACTGAATTTGGTTATCATCAAAAAAGGTAAATATAAATCCTTACAATTGGTCTTTGAAACCATTAGCCAATTTATGATTCAACTTACAAAGTATGTTCATTGTGTGTTCTAGAGAGCAAAATTCTGCCCAAAAATCAGGAATTACCAAACATATAATGTTGCCATCCCAAAATTTTCCAGGATGGCATTTTTTTAGTTTCAATATTGTATAGTGTCTTGACCCAAGCCAAGTCAAAGTTTGACAAGCTGTTTAATACCAAGCTCCCGAGGAAAGGACACAGAAAGCAAAATTGGCAAAAAACTTGGGAGTGGTTAATGATTGATAATCAGATTCTTGTATTTAAATTAAGTTTATTAAAAAATCTGTATCTCATGACCGCTTCGAAGTTTTTCGTCAAATATGCTTTTTGGGTCTTAGAAAAATCAGTTGTACAACAACATATCAAAATTGTGTCCCTTCATCCAGAGCCTGGCTTTAAAAACTCTAGACTTGTTGTACAATAGTTTTATGATAGTTGATAATTATTACTGTAGGTAAATTTTATAAAACATATGAATGGCTAGCAAGGCTGAAATCAGTAGCATTAATTGTACATTGATATTTTTTTTTTAACATATATCTATAAAAAAAAAACAACTAAATTATACCTAGGCTTGTGTTGTGAAAAAAAGCATACAGCTGTCAGCCAAACACTCAGCCTACGATCATTAATTTCGTAGGCTGTTCAATGTTCATGTCATCTCATATTTTTATATTTTTAATTGTGTAGGAGAAGGCGAGATCCCAGACCTTACTGATAAAACAATTCCTAGGCGACTTGGACCTAAAAGGGCTGGAAAAATCAGAAAGCTTTTCAACTTGTCCCGTGAGGATGATGTGCGCCAGTACGTAGTAAGGCGCCCTCTTCCACAGAAGGAAGGTAACCATCTTTAAAGACCTTTGTATTTTAAGTCTTCAATTTTCAGTACATAATAAGTAAATAAACGTCAGTCAGCAAATACATTTTTTAACCTAATTGAAAATAGACTATCCATTACCAATTACATAATCCACATTTGCATTAATTTCTTGATTGTTATTAGTTTTTATGTATTTCTACAGTTTAGCATTTAAATGACTGGTTTATTTCTTGTTCATAATGAAATCCTTTTTTTATTCTACAGGAAGCAAGAGAAAATGCTTCAAATCGCCGAAGATCCAGAGACTCATTACTCCACAGCGTCTCCAGCGTAAAAGACATGAGATCGCAATGAAGAAGCAACGTGTGAAGAAGAACCGTGACGCTGCTGCTGAGTACGCCAAGCTGCTTGCTCAACGACAAAAGGAGAAGAGAGATGCTGTGATGAAGCGAAAGCGTTCAGCATCGGCCAGGGAATCTCACCGTCAGTCACAATCCGACAAGTAAATACAGTCTGGTAATGAGTGCAACATGTAATAATCAAAGTGGATAGGTGATATTAAAAATGCTTGAGGAACTGAACTAGTTGTACATGTCTTTTTTTAAAAGTAAATCCAATTGTTTTTTCCTAACAAGGTGGTTATAAATATAAAGTATTAAGGTTGCTCCTAGATTCACAATCAACTTTCATACATCACAGTCGTATATAAACAAGAAATATTTCCTATAAAAAAAACGCCCTGACTTACACAATTGGTTTGTATAGTCGTATATAAAAATGTATCTGCCTCAAATATAATATTCACCTGACGACGATGCCGCCAGCATGGACTGCTATAAATTGCTTGTATTTTGGGCAATAAAGCAACCTGTTCTAGATTAGGTCTGCTCTTACCCCTGCCCATATACCTATAAAATGGTATCTTTATTTAGCTAACAAACTTACTCCCTCAATTATAATGTTTATTGTCCCTATATTCAACCGCCAACCTTTGAGCCAACTCTGGCCTGCCAGAGATTTCAATGAGGCCCACAACATTGCTCAAAAATAAATAATTTTTCCAGCCGATTTTTAGGTTGTTTTATTAATTTTTAGAGGATATATAAAAACTTGCTAACTGGAAGAAAACTTTCACCGAGTCGGAACTCAACAGGAAAACTTTGGAATTTAAACTGTACTGTAATAGAAACATGATAGCCGAACACTTTTGGAGTTAAATTGAGAACACTACTTCTGGAGTAGTAAAACTAGAGTGCCTTTTTCTTAGTGTAGCTAACTGTATCTAGTGTTGACAGTGGCGCCGAGAGGTCGGGGTAACCGGGGCAAGTGGCCCGGGATAACTAGGTAAAAAATAAAACGAATGAATAAAAAGTATTAAACGTATAATTCATCTGGCAGTATCATTCATGTGTTTTTTAACAAAAGTTGAGAAATAAGAAAATTCCACTCAAATGTAAGTCTAAGAGTGCCATTTCCATCCGTCCAGAGGTGTCATAATCATAAATTTCTTGCCTCAGCCCATACCGTGGTGTGGCTGAGGTAGATAGACCATCCATCTGTCAAGTTCTTCTCTGGGTCTCTATTTCAAATCCCATAGATCCGCAACTGTAAACTTTGATACCTATGTTTTGAATCTTTACAGCAATTTTGAATAAAAGGAAGGATAGCTTTTACTTTCCATGTTTCTATACTTTTTTTTGACCTAGTGAGATTAGGCACTCTATAATCGATTAAATTAGTCCTCTAATCCGATAAAAGGCCGTAGGTCCCCCCCTCCCCCCGACTCCCAACCAATAGGTCTGGACAACAAATATGTGGCGTATCGGGAGTTTTAAAATGGGGGATCTAATGGGATCGCGTAGGTGAAGTGGTGGCTGGATGATTAGATGAAGGGGGGGGGGGGGGAGGAGACTAGCTCGCAAAATAAAGTGATTTTTAACTACCGGTACTTGAGAATTATATTTTGCTGAGAGACATGGAGATAAAGGGTTTATTGTTGTTTTTGAGGGGGAGTTCATTCGAGGGAAGCTTTTATTTTTTTAGGTGTAATATGGATACGTGTACAGTATACGCAAATAAACTCCCGTCAATTTCGTTGAAATGCGGAACTACAGCACATTAATTGCCCCCAAAATGTGTTATATGCGTGGTCATACAGATCTTAACCAGGTTAAAAAAAATGTAATTCTACTGGAGTATGTACAGTACTGTAGTAGGAAATGAATATAATTTGTTGAGAATGATGCTGCTTCCGTCAGTTTTGTTTAGTCATTTGGGTGTAGGCAGGGGGGGGGGGGGTTGTTTATTCGACAAACCAAGGCTACATATAATAGGCCCGAAGACTTGTAGGCCTATAACACGGAATGGGTGGGGCTGTCATTGAAAACATGTCAAGTACACAACTATGTCGTATATCTCAACATAATATTAGAACTAGCCACCAGCTTAGAAAGGTTGATTGGGTGGGGTTTATTGGATATGGCATTGTCTTGGAAATCCAAATAAATTGTGAGAGGCTTAGTGCAGAAGATGAGATAGTAGTCCTTCTCTTCCTCCACACCCCCACACATTTTTTTTAATTGACAATAATAAGATGTAAAAGGAACAATGCAAATCGAAATCATCGATTTGACACTCATTTCCCATTGAACTCGCTACTTTAATGGTCGAAATTTATAGCCAGAAAGGTTCAATTGATAGATATGATACTGCATAACTTCCTCATTTTAACAAACAAAAGGCCTATCACACAGTGGCGTATGTAGGGGTGCGGGGGAGGGGCGCACAAAAAGTTCACATCACAAATGTCCGAAGCCAAAATTTAGCGAGCTATCGCCTCCACACTTAAATGTCTGCCCCTTCACCTTCTTCTCCCTCCCCAAGAACCTCAGATATGCCACTGCTATCATAGTTTATGTTGAAAAGTGTCATTTTATAAACCAAGGCTACATATAATAGGCCTGAAGACTTGTAGGCCTATAACACGGAATGGGTGGGGCTGTCATTGAAAACATGTCTAGTACAACCATGTCGTATATCTCAACATAATATTAGTCACTAATAACTAGCCACCAGCTTAGAAAGGTTGATTGGGTGGGGTTTATTGGATATGGCATTGTCTTGGAAATCCAAATAAATTGTGAGATGAGATAGTAGTCCTTCTCTTCCTCCACACCCC